GGATGGGCGGGGCGGGGCGAAGGCAGAGGGTGGGATCTGGGCTGAGAGCCAAGGGAAAGCGCCACAGCCTTGTTTTCTCCCCAATTCTAGGAAAGAAAGTACGGTAAGTACTGTACTCATGAAAGAAAGAAAGGCCCTACCAGCGGTTCTCAACCTGTGTGTCGCGACCCCTTTGGTGGTCGAACGACCCTTTCACAGGGGTCGCCTAAGACCATCCTGCATATCAGATATTTACATTACGATTCGCAAGCGTGTTATGCATTCAGGGTAATGGGTTTATTATATGCATAAACAAGTAAGCATTTATTGGCGTGTTGTCAAAAATAATGGACAAGGTGACAAAAAACTATTTTAGCACGAAAACGAGACAGCTGCCACAGACCAATACTGAGCTTACAGACTCTCAAAAGATCACAGAACCTGAAAAGAGAGCTTTCAGGTCATGTAGTTATTCAGACAATAAAGTCAGCTATATAATGCAGGCAACACATGGCAACAGAACACGATTAGCGAGGCAGTCTCTCACTGGGGGATGGAGGAAGGCTTGCTGGGGCCCGGGGTCGCTGATGGGAAAGGGCATTAAAACCTCATAAATCCTCCATATCGTTTCTCCATTTCAGGAACTTCGTTGGAGTAACTTTCACCTTCTTCGTTGGAGGGCAGAGAATCGGCGAAGCGCTTCAGGAAGCCCCCGTACCTCTTCTGGTAGTCCATCCACCACTCGGGGCGGCCCACTCTTCTCATGAAGCCCCCGTAGCGCTTCTGCAGCTCCTTGGCTTCATCTTCCAGTTGGGGGCTCCGCTTCAGGCCTCTCGTGAAGCCCCCGTACCTCTTGCTCACTTCTTCATCCCCGGCCTCTTGGTGGGGGCTGCTCTCTCGGTTGTCCCCTGTGCCCAGGGGCCAGGACTCTGCTGGGGAGCCCATGGTTTCCTACCTTCACTCTCAGGACCTGGGCCCGGCCCCTCCGAGACTGGGTGGCCCTTTTGGGAGTCCCCAGCTTGCATGGGCACCATTCTTTCTATAAATACGGTTTCTTTCTAACTAGCTTGTTTCATGAAAAAAGAGTCAGATACAACAAAAGGCCATGTCATCTGATTAAGAAAACGATAAGGCCCTACGTGACCCTCGTCTTACTGAATACCTCTCCATTCATAAATCTGCCTATCAGCGGTTCTCAACCTGTGGGTCGCGACCCCTTTGGCGGTTGAACGACCCTTTCACAGGGGTCGCCTAAGACCATCCTGCATATCAGATATTTACATTACGATTCATAACAGTAGCAACATTACAGTTATGAAGTAGCAACGAAAATAATTTTATGGTTGGGTCACAACATGAGGAACTGTATTTAAAGGGCCAGAAGGTTGAGAACCACTGCTAGTTGGTTTGACTCAGTGGACAGAGCATCACCGGCGGACTCAAGAGTCCCAGGTTCAATTCCCGCCAAGGGCACATGTCCAGTTTGCCGGCCGATCCCCAGTAGGGGGCGTGCAGGAGCCAATCAATTTGATTCTCTCTCATCATTGAGGTTTCTATCTCTCCCTCTCCCTTCCTCTCTGAAATCAATAAAAATATACTTTAAAAAATAACATAAGAATGATAAATTTGTTTTTAAAAAAATAGAGAGAGAAAGTAACTCAATCCCGACCTCTGCCGCCCCAGGCCAGTAGCATCACCTTCCACTCAGCAAACTTCCCCATTCCTAACACACCCAGGAACATTCAAAACTAGCCCGAGCTCTAGGAAGATATGGGATACCATTTCACCAATAATTCATCGTGTTATTGGTGAGATATTATCTGTACCTCATTCACCCTACCCCAACCAACACCCTTCACGTAGGCGTTGCCATGTTGAATGTTCGCGAAAACAATTTTCCCCATTTTACGCTGAGGAAAATGAGAAAAATATTATTCTTTCACTGTTCTGCATAAAAGTGAGTTGCATTATTTTTAGAATAAAGTAATTCACCAAATTTTGACCGCCACTGATTTACTAGGTTCTGGGGAAACACTGGTGAGTTTAAAAAAATTTTTTTAATTGAATTTAGAGAGAGAGAGAGAGAGAGAGAGAGAGAGCAAAGGAGAGGGAGAAATAGAAATATCATGAGATACAGCATCAATCACTCCATTGCGGTGGGCCAGCAGGACCCCACCCATGCACAAATTCATGCACTGGACCTCTAGTAAATAAATCAATCCTCACCTGAGGATATGTTTTGATTGATCTTGAGAATGAAAGAAAGAAAGTGAAACATCAATCAGGTTGCCTCTCCCACACGCCTCAACCAGGAATCAAACCCACAACCTAGGCATATGGCCTGACTGGGAATAAAGCCCATAACCTTTTGGTGTATGGGAAGACGCCCCAACTAACTGAGACACCCTGCCAGGGCAAAATATTTACTACTTTTGCTTGGTTACACACCACAGTCCTAAGTGTTCATGTGTATGCAGGGTGCAATGGTCTGCTGGTTGGATAGGCATCTGGAGGTTCATTCAAAACTCCAGCACACATTCAGGAATGTGAACAGTCTTTTGTTATTTGGTCCATAGCTATTAATTGGTTAACTATTCCTGTCTCTTTCTCTCATTCTCTGATCACTGTAGTTTTTATTTAGAACATTTCAGAATTTTTCTCTTGTCAAAGGATAAACCCTATCCCACCCACTGGGATACTTTTTCTTTTTCTTGTCAAATCAAGTGAATTACTAATTAATCCTCACTTAACATTCATCCAGCCCTTCCTTCCTAGGACACAGGAATTGTGTTGGGGGAAGACAAGGGAGAACTAGGTGAAAGTGGGAACATCTATTATAATAAAAACATAATATGCTAATTAGACCGGACAGCCAACCGACCTTCCGGACATCATTCTGGAGGTCCTTCTGGAGGAAGCCACAGCAGTGGGGGCCTGGGCAGAGGCGGTTAGGGGAGGTCAGGCAGGCAGGCGAGTGGTTAGTCAATAGTTGAAGTTTGCAATCTCTTCCACAAAATATCCAGTTAATATCCAACGATAATCAGGGGATTGGACTTGGACGACAGCAGGTTAATAGTAACCACCAAGACTAGGGAAAAGTCAAGGAAACTACCCAGATTGAGTCGTGGGATATGGGCAGGGGAGGCAAGAGTCCTGATGGGCTGGGCCAGCCAGGCTCAGTGGTTGAGCATCCACCTATGAACCGGGATGTTAGGGCTGGATTCCCTCTCAGTGCACACCCCCGGGTTTCAGTTTTGATCCACAGACATGCAGGAGGCAGTTGATCAATGATCCTCTCTCATCATTGATGTTTCAGTCTTTCTCTTCCTCTCTGAAATAAAAAATATATATATATAATTTTTTTAAGGGTCCTGGTGGGAAGCACCGGGGATCTTCCTTTCTCCAAACCCACCAGACAAGCCTGGGGCTCCTGAGTCATCAAGACTGCCTGGGGCAGAGCACACTAGAAGTCCTGCGGGGATCCTTCCTGTTAGGTCCCTCCTCCCAGCAACATCCTTCGTTGCAAAATTTCCGGAAGGTTATAAAGAATGGAGTGGCGAAGGGAGGTGGGGAGTGACCCAGGTTCACAGAGGAGGGAACACAGTGACGTTCCTGGGGCTACAAAAACCCTCAGAGGCTGCCAAAGGGTGTGTGGAGCCTGGAAGCAGTGCTGCCACACAGGAAAGAAGCCAGAGCCCTTCCCAGAGCCCTGAGGACCTATCGACCATGGTGAGTGTACGGTCTTGGGGCCGAACAGGGGCTGGCTACTCGAGGAATCCCAGGGACCGCTGGGGCCGCCCTGACCTCCGCTCTCTTCCCAGGTGCGGGCACCCTGTCGGCTGCTGCTGCTGCTGCTGCCGCCACTGCTTCACGTCTGGGCGACAACGTCAGAGCCCTGCGAGGTGGACGACGACGATGTCCGCTGCGTCTGCAACTTCACGGATCCGGAGCCCGACTGGTCCAGCGCCTTCCAGTGTGTGGGTGCCACGGAGGTGGAGATCCGTGGCGGTGGCCGCAGCCTGAAAGAGTTTGTAAAGTTCGCCGGCATCAACCCGAAGCAGTATGCTGACGTGATCAGGGCTCTGCGCGTGCGGCGACTCACGGTGGGTGATGCACAGGTTCCTGCTCTGCTTCTGTTCTCCCTCCTCCGTGGGCTTGGGTCCTCCCGCCTCAACCAACTCACCCTCGAGGACTTGGAAGTGATCGGCCCGACGCCGCCACCGCCTCTCGAAGTCACTGGACCTGCGCTTTCCAGCCTCAGTATCCGTAACGTGTCGTGGGCAACAGGGGGCGCCTGGCTGGCGGAACTGCAGCTGTGGCTCAAGCCCGGCCTCAAAGTACTGAACGTTGCGCAAGCACCCTCGCTCGCCTTTTCCTGCGCAGACCTCGGCACCTTCCCCTCCCTCACCACCCTAGACCTGTCTGACAATCCTGGCCTGGACGAGCGCGGGCTGACTGCGGCTCTCTGTCCGAACAAGTTCCCGGCCCTCCAGGAGCTAGCGCTCCGCAACACTGGGATGCAGACTCTCGGCGGCGTGTGCGCGGCGCTGGCGGCGGCAGGAGTGCAACCGCACCACTTGGACCTCAGCCACAACCCGCTGCGCGCCACCGCACCGGACGCTCCCAGGTGCATCTGGCCGAGCGCCCTGAGCTCTCTCAACCTGTCATTCGCTGGCCTGGAGCAGGTGCCTATAGGACTGCCGGCCGAGCTCAGCGTGCTTGATCTCAGATGCAACAGGCTGAACAGAGAGCCGCGGCCAGATGAGCTGCCCAAGGTGAGGGACCTGATACTGGCCGGGAATCCCTATCTGGACCCGAAGAACTCTGGTGTGGTCACAGCCTGTGAGCGTTTGACTCAGGCCCTGGGGGTGTCAGGAAGTATCCTGCTGCTTCAAGGGGCCAGGTCCTTGGCCTAAGGCTCAGGAGAGAAGAATGGATTGGCTCAGATTGCCCTGGTTCCCGAGCAGCCTCCTCGGGACCTCTCAACCAACCACTTCTCTGCCCCCAATTCATTAAAATCTTAAACAACGGTCCTTGTCATTCACTGAACAGGTGTTTGCTGGGTGTCCGCTATGTGTTGGGCACAGTGCTGGATGGGGAATCCATTATACTGAGACTTTCTTTATCCCAACTCCCCAGAAACCACACCTAGCTAAGTAAAGGACTTCAGGGGCAGAGAGGCAGGGAAACGTTGTCTATCCAGGGCTGTGTAGAAGAAGTAAGGAGTTTCTGTGCAATCCAGGCTTTCTGAGCAGAATACTGGTGCCTGTGTTAAAGGGTGTTGGAATAGTAAATAAACTAGGAAGATACATTCCTCCCTGTGCATTTCCCATGAGCCAGCTAGTCCCTTACAAAAACCCAGGGCCATTTGCTTTCTCTTTCTCACTTACTCTCTCTGTGTCTCTGAGAGAGGAAGGCAGCTATGCCAGCTTTTCTACATAAACTCTGAGTTTTATATTTTAAGATTTTTCTCTTGCTGAAACCGGTTTGGCTCAGTGGATAGAGCGTCGGCCTGCGGACTGAAAGGTCCCAGGTTTGATTCCGGTCAAGGGCATGTACCTGGGTTGCGGGCACATTCCCAGTAGGAGATGTGCAGGAGGCAGCTGATCGATGTTTCTCTCTCATCGATGTTTCTAACTCTCTATCTCTTTCCCTTCCTCTCTGTAAAAAATCAATAAAATATATTTTAAAAAAAAAAAGATTTCTCTCCTGCTGTGGCTTCCACTGTGACATCTGATGCGGAATTTGGGCAAGGGGAAGTGATACAAGATGCTGTCATTAAACAGTCCATCTCAGAAACAGAGGTTTTGTGATTGTGTTAGCATATGTGTGTGTTGTATAACTGTTTCAGGCTGGCTCTTTGATTTGTAAATAGAATAACATCTTAGACCTTCACAGCTTCTTAGATCCATCACAAGGCAATTAACAAGATGTGCCCCTGATCC